CGAACTTATAGTTAAATTAAATGAGGCGCAGCTATGCAATGCATAGGCTAACAATAGGATTTGAGTACATATATACATGGCAAAGAGAATGATTCATCGAGCGATATTTATGCGACTAACATTTTAGCTAGAGATATGTGCGTAGGCTGTCATGTCATCAAGCTTGCACGTTTATGCGGATAAAATAGTGACCGTAATAGTACAATGAAATATGCGAATTGGTACTGTTCGAATAACATTTTCTGTTAAGTAAATTAATAAACGTTCGTAACCAAAATTAGCCATAATCAAAATTGATTGTAGGAGAATTGCTATGTTTTGTCTCAAAACCTTTAGTATGAAGGAGTATGTGGCTCTTAAGTTTAGTGCGCTTAAAAGTAAGGAATTTACCTCCCAATACAAAGTGATTCTGCTAGTAACGAAATGGATGTGTACAGAAGTTCCAATGATTCTGTATTACTTCTTATAATCCTATATTTCAGAGTCAGTCAGTCGCAACGTACAACCTAGTACATATGTCTATCAATTCAAATTACCATACCTCATTAGCACAGAGAGATAAATTCGTCAGGCCAAATCCCAAAATACTAGAGGTAGTGATAGTATTAGTGGTGATAGAAAAGATTAAGTACCAAAGATAAGATTCATGCAAATATAAATTACTGAAATGAAAACATAAAAATAGTTAAGAAGAATTTAAAAGCTCAGAATTTGAAGACAAAGAGTAGATGTACCTGCCTCTTTTCAAACGATTTCGAGCGATGTCATTCAAAGCCCTTATTCACTCGTTAAGATAATTATAAGAACACCAACCAGATAGTCTACATCGATAAACATGATTCAGTCCAATATTTCATGGTATACCAAACATACCTCGTTTTATAATTATGTACAGACTTGTCTTCCTAAACGGATTGATTTAGAAAAATTAGTTACATACAGACATGCAACTGAATATCGAACAGTGTCAAATTTAATAGTAACCATAGATCAGCAGTTTTCACAAACAATATTTCGAAAATTAGCTCATAAAACTGTTTTCATATCTCAAATAGAATGCTTTTCCGAGACTAATATATTCCTAATACTGCATATCACCAAATCACAGCTATAATATGGCAGTAACATATCATAGAGATTAATGTTGCTGCAGTCTAAATCTTATTGGTACCATGAATTAAAACAACATATCTCGGTCATAGTTGTATGAGACGTTTAGCTTGCTGGTTGTTTTTCTTTTTGTTTCGCGCCAAACTAAAATATTGTTCAAAAAACACAAAGCAGTTAGCATGCGAATAAAACGTATTTACTTTATTTTGTCTAGCCAATAATCAGTCATTATTTACACTCACAAAGTTGTTGAGACCATTTGAATTAAATCAGACCAAATAACCATTATAAAGTTATATAGTTAAACTAAACAGTAAATAATAAAGGTAAAATTCCTTATAAAGTGAAAATAACAAATTGTATTATAATGATAAATACATATCGGATGATTATGTCTATAAAATTACAATTTATAAATAAACATCATTTTAGGCAGAGATGGTTAGTAATGGGATTCAAGACGCTCGTTTCGTCCCATTTAGGATTCGTCAGCTAGGTGTACCTGTATCCCAGGGTTGATATTCACTCAGGCACTCGAAGCCAGGAATCACATATGCCAATAAGAAACTGAACAATTATAGTCCTAAACGTAAATTGGAAGATTCAAACAATCAACACAAAAGTGAATTAAATATTGTCTTTTTATTATTACTATTATTATTATTATTAACATCTCATTTTCATGCTAAACATTAAAACATTATGTTTGGTTTTACTAAACGAACTGTCAGTCATGATCACATGTTAGAAATGGTTTAATAATGCCTATTACCCACTAACTAACTAATGAAATATAAAACGTATGAATTTCATATTAAACAAAATTTACAGATAACTAAATATTGGCAAACAGTTCTCCATTTCTTCATATTTAAGTTTTATATTGCCGTTTTTTATTATATTCAAGTCCATATCTAGACAGTCATTAGGTTTACAGTTCGTGTTAGATTAAAAGAAATAAGATATCAAGACTGAAGTTCTTGAACATGGATCATTCGGTGCTAATCTGTCATTTTTTCTATATATCCGTTAATGCCAATCATAATGAACTCACCTGATTCATATTACTATTATTTGAATAACCTTATGTTGTTATTATCAGTTATGACAAATGTACTTAAACAGAGTAAACTGATTGAAAGTTATATGATAGATACAATTAAGGAAACCCTAAAATACAATTTGCTAGTGAGCGGTTTATGCTCCTCCATGAGGAGTAATAGACATAAATAAGTAAAATAAAATTACGCGTCAGACTAACATTCAGCGAATTATGACGTTTTTGTATAATCATTATAAGTTAATAATGGTTAAAGGGCTTTATTTTAGTAGGTAATTGATTTTGACCATCCAAAATTGTGATTTGTTCACACTAGCTGAAACTTCCGAGCCAGACTTGATCTTATTTCAAATTCCAAAATAAAACTGTATTATTTAATACACATCAAACTAAAGATCACGATATCTGTGAAACAACCTTAAAGATCTCCACGATAATCAGCTTACAAATAGAGATAAACCATCCATCTTTGTTTATAGAGAGGAAACGGTTGGTCAGCTAGATAACTATATAGATTTAATAAGGATGAAAGCAAGTCTTCCTGAATGATAGCAATCAGTTCAAGACAGATGTAATGAACACAAATACTACCTACTGCATAAAGATTTAAACAGCGAATAGATTAACTTGATAAACACAAGAGGAGTAGGTCAACATTTTGTGTATAAATCGTGTACAATATATCTCTATTACAGATCAGTCTATATATGTTAGGTAGAACACAACTGAATATATAGCATTAAATAAATGACGATCAATCAACTTGATGTTATAGCTATTCATCATCAGAATGGAATGTAAACAGCTTGTCTCTCTAGTTATAATCATTGAACAATCTAAGTCATTCCTGTAAATTATAATCGCTAAAACAAAAACACTATCAGTAATCAGGCAGAGCAAATCTACCCGCAACTAAATGAGTCATATTTAAGCAAACTATATCAAACCAACTAGAACATTAACTGGAATTCTTCTTCTCCATGGTTATACTTCAATTCCTTCAGTCAACCTACTAATACAGATGAAGTCAAAAATCAGCATATACGAACAGCATAAACAATGATTGACTCAATTAAACCAAAGATAGCGCTATTGTAAAATTTTCTACCATAATGACTGTTTTTCGATTTGATTATAATGAATGTCAGCACCAAATACTTGTACTGTTCATACGATAAACTGTTGAACACCGGTTGTTGAGACTATAATTTATGGACGACGTTTGAGTGAATCTGAGAATGTTAACCTACTAACTAGGACCAAATGAGGGTTATAAATTAGTGTGGGGAATTAGAATTATGATTTACAATTGATGGTTAGGGTTAAGAATTTGATTTAATGTTTTTATCACGAGATGACATCAACTGAAATGCCAAGACATTATTTAGCCAAATGGACAAATGAATTTCGTGCCAAAATCCAAGTCCTGTTATCTTATCTCTGATTGGTTCGTTAAAAAAATATAGACTCGCCCACCTATTAATGCTATGAATTTTGATTTGATTTTTAGAAACATCTCTGTGCTAAATCATTCTTCACTTTCATACTACCAATCTGGCAAATACTTAAACAATTTTTACGCAACTTTTTATTTTGAATGTGGTGAAAATAAAATCAAACACCTTAAAATTATCACATGTATTTCTGGTTGGCTTCTTTTTGAATGATCTTTCAGTTTATCTATGCTTGGAAGCTTCTAATTGATCTCTTGATAACCTCTGATGTACGATAACCTAACTTGGTTTGAAATTCAACCAACTTCGTGTTGATTCTAATAGGATAGTGATATGGCTTTATAATTACCAAAACAATCTAAGGTATTATTGTACATTACAATCGATAAAACAAAGACCCAATCAGTGTAATGTGAATCTTCATCGCCTGAGATGGTTGGGCCGTGTTACGTATGCCTGAACACCGATTACCACGAAGTGCAATGCTAACCGGTGTTCGGGATGGTTGGAAGAAAGTTAGGGGAGGCCAGGCCAAAATGTGGCATCAGTGCTTGAAGTCACTAACTTCTGGTCTGAGCCATGTTGGTAGATGCAGACTACTCGGTTGGGGTCCGTGTAACTATCGTAACCAATGGTTGGAGACTCTTGGTGACATGGCTCAGAATAGATCACAATGGCGTCGGTGTATACACTCTCTGTCTTTCCTTAAACTAAGAGATTAAAATCACTTCATATCTTTCTTTCTACGTACTAAATCTTTCCTCCTGTACTATATGCAATCTTCCTTTTATATATTACCACCATTGACTTAACTACTCTTACGAATCCGGTGTTCATCTTGCTGTGCTAATATGGTATGGGAACTTGGACCGATGCATATATGTGCCTGGTCCTACGCTGTAGCCGACTAACTGACTATCAGTATATGTATAAATATGAACCAGATCAGTAGGGGAATTTATTTGCAAATGTATGATAAAATGTTATATACATAAATATCGCTGGTAAATAATATAAAAATAGAAACGTAATCAGTAGAAAGTATTGATGACTTTCTATCGCCTTAGTATCAAAAGAAGAAACAAAACAAAGACTATAGTTCATTATGAACAAAAATATGAATAAAATCAAATATGAAAAATGACTGTAAATGCAGGATGATAAATAAAAGAAACTCAGGGTTTATCTTAATCTTAACTCCAAAATTTAAACGAACTATTTCACCGTTGGTTTAATGCCTAGTTCATGGAAGACGACAATAAGAAATATAATATAGAGTTTGTAAAATATTTCAACGATTGAAACTATTCAAATAATCATAATTACACTGAATAAGTAGTAAATGATTTTCTATTTTAGGAATTCCATTTATAATTTTAATCAAAATGTACAGTAGATGAATTAAATATAAATTTATCAAGAGGTCCATGAAAAGTTGTTGTTGTCGTCATGGTCTTCGTTGTTGATATGTTACTGTTTTTGGATTGTTTAACTTCAAGTTTTTGCGATTTCGCCTTTCTTCAAACAATATATCATAGAAAAAAAAAGAAGGAAAAAGAGAAACATGATAGGAATTTATTAGAAGAAAAAAGTAATTTGCCTTAATAAAGATAATAAAGTAAATCACAACATTGATTCAGGAAGTTGATCTCAATAACTGGGTATGAATAATATGAAGTAGAAAAAATGTGTACGCTTTTTCAGCTTGAACTGAAATGAATGGATAGTATAGTGGCTTGGCTTCACGATAATTCTTTAGGCTTCGTCTATCAATCATACGGAAAAACGTCATTAAATAAAACCTAACGGTACACAAATTCAGAAAACAAAACATGTTGCGCCTACTACAGTTTATTGTTGGATAGAGCAGATAAAAAATTACAAGCACGCCAAGAGAATATAAGCAAAAGAGCTAGTGTGTGAGGGGAATCGAATATTGAGGCGAACTCAGAGTCCAGTCGATTCATATATATATAAAAGAATGATTTACCGAGTGACAATTCAACCAACTAACCTTTAAGGTAGAGTGAGGAATATGTGCATAGGCTGTCATTAATCACCAAGCATACATGTTTATATACACATGATAGTAATAATATCAATACAAAGAAATAGACAAATGTTTACTGTTCGAATAAGACTATCAAATATGTTAAAAAGGGCTCGAAAAAATTAGGCGTTAATAAACATAAGAGAGGTGCTATAATAGAAACAATATGATCACAAAGTCACACGTAAAAATCACGGTCATTCAGTCATAATCAACGTATGGTTTGAGAAAATGTGATTTATTCAAAAATGAAGAATATTTAAGCAAACAATAGTTTTGAATATCTTCATCAACCTCTACAGATATAAGTCCATAATTATGACATTTTACAAAGGCCAAAATAAAGTATGCATTAATGAATTTGACAATATCTATATCAGAATGAGAGTTTGTGGAAATTGTAGTGATTTTAATAGTTGAATTCATGAGTCCATTTAAGCTAGATCACCATTGAGAAACTGGAAGACTTGGACGGCCATTTCGTCCTAGTATGGGACTCCTGAGCAGTACTCATTTACAATCCCGCACACAATATTTGAACCCAGGGCCTTCGGTCTCGCGCGTGAACGCTTAACCACTAGACCACTGAGCCGGCATCCAATGCTGTTAAAGTTTAACTTCGATCGATTCACGATATTGAGCAACCTTCCACTATTGTCTTCAATGAGTAACTGCTTCATAAGTTATATTTTAAAACTAGCGAACGTTTGCATCTGTTAGGACATAAAATCCTCAAAATTGTGTTATATGTAAACTATGAAGGTTAGAATGATTCTAAGTGTCAAGTCACAATCAGTAAAATAGTAATATGATAAAATGAAAAAAAATTGTATGAGCAAAATGCATAGGAGAAATTCTTTTTGCTAATTGAGGTAATAATGCTAATAGCAATCGTAATAATAATAATAATAATAATAATAATAACAAATAATAATAATATCGTTGTGTGAATATAATATGCAATAAGTGGGGTGTTACCAAGGCGCTTACGATAAAAAAGGATCCATGTGAATTGGGAAAGGTGGATGTGAAGATGAGAAAGAACATTATTAAAAAACGGGAAGATGGTGAGAGGCTTATAGTATCCAGCTTAGGTATCTGGTGATCCAGTCGTAGATCAAGATAAACTTAGAGGCTGGATGTATCTTTTCTGGATATATAAGTTCGGTTTTCTGGAGTCGATCCAGATGGGTTTGCTTATGTAGAGTAGCCGTAGTCTAGCTTCCTGAGGTCGATTCTTTGGAAATTGATAAAAATAAGAGAAAGCGTTATCTTTTTTAATATCGTGTTTATCATCTACCAAGTGAGAAAGAATAGTACGGTTAATCGATTGAGTAACTCTTTTTTCCAACCATGCTGGTACATGTTCACGAACACGCAAGAATAAAGCCCTCTGGGCATGGCTTACATAACTAGTTTCACAGGAGCAGTTGAATTGGTACACATACATGGAGGAGCCCATCGTCGACAACCTATCCTTGATTTGTTGTATAGTGTTATAATCTCAGTTTTCTTCTTACGGTTATTACCCAGCTATTCCTATTGCTTAGTATTCTTGGACACCGATTCACTCGACAAGTCCCCAAATCAGAACACGGTTGAACAGGAAAGAGATTATATTCCAAATAGCAAGTCAGAAGCACAATAGGGAAAAACGTCAGTATATTTATAGTTTTTACATAAGAAGATTCCAGAGTATTCTCCAAATATCGACTAGTGCTGATTGGATAAGAATTAGCCAATCAGCGTGCACCAAAGCAATCATGCATTGAGCATGCTTTAATCTAGTCTATGTCCCGCTAACACCTCCCCTCTGAGCAGATTCGTAGGATCTGGTGCTAGGGTCCAACTGCAACCGAGTGACTGGCCTGTGCTTTCGATTAGTCCATCGTCTAGGCAATAGAGAAGTATCACTCTTTTCTTGCACAGAAACTGATGTGTCTATTCCCGGCGTTTTGATTTCAAAGGTGTCTAGCAGAACATCAAGAGGTAATCGATATTGAATTTTGTTGCTGGCTATCGAAGTTGCTTTCAATTTGTTAGCAAGACGTACCCAAATTTCCGAGCCAACCGACACCTCGTAAACCACACTCCCCTTCTTTCTCAAGATCCGACCAGCTGTGCATGTAGGATGTTTCCCACGATAGTCCATAGCAAGTACTTCTTGTCCCACCGTGAACAATCGTCTTTGTGCCCCATGATGTCGGTTGAACTGATTCTCCATCGATAGGTTTCGTTGGGGTTCAATAGCTGGCGTAGGACGGATGACATCGAAATGTGTTCGTATTTTTCTTTTCGGTTTTCCTAGTAACCTATCACCTGTCTTCTTTGGAAGTACTGGGGTGTCCAATGATGAACGCGATACGTTACAGACACTGTTAATTGGTACATCCATTATTCCAAGTTTGTCTAACATATCTAGACCAAGAAGATCAAGGTTCAGCCGTTCTGTTAGGTAACATATTCCTGTACAGTTAGTTCCATTGAAGGAAAATTCACACTGTAATTCACCAACCAGTTTTAGCACACCACCTGATGCGTTTTTAGCCGTTTTCTTAGATGGCTTCATTGGCGGTTTACCCAGCAAGTTATACGTTTCTCTAGACACTAACGTGATATCTGATGCCGTGTAAATTTGAAGACGAGCTGATATGCCGTTTATTTGGATGGTAACATACTTTCTCTGAATGTCATAGTTTGTTTGAAAGACAGCCACCAAAGAAAAAGATTTGGACTCGGCTGATTTCACATGTCGAGGACGTTTATGCTTCTTCTTAGGCTGAGACGTACGCTTCGGTGGACAATGACCTTCTTTATGTCCACGTTTGTTGCACGCCTGACATTTATGCTTCTTGAACGGACAGAATCGTGCAAAATGCCAATCACCGCATAACCAGCATGCAGTCCTTGGTTTGTTACGAGTTCTTACCGGCTTCTGAACTTTCAACCTAGTAATAGTATTTACACTACCACAGGTTAAATTAGGATTTACCTGTTCAATCAACTCGTTGTCGTGTCTGATGCTTTGTAGACGCTTACACTCATTTGTCAATGTTCTGAGTGTGACGTTTGGGTTTTGATCCAGTCGAGCTAAAAGTCTAGTCCTGATCTCAGCATCTTGTGGTGACTGAAGAGCTTTGATGAATATTAAGCATTTAAATTGGTCATCAGTCAACGAGCGTAATTTGAAACATTCACATTCTCTGTTGACAATGTCTGCTAGAACACCATATTCATCAGCTTCGCGTTTCACCAAATTTAGACACCGATATCGAATACTAAACAACGAGGATGACTCGCCGAATATCTCTGACAACTGAAATACCGTCTCCTCGAAACTGAGCTCTCGAGGTAACTTTGGCAATATATGGTCAGCAAAACGTGCATGTTCACTGCTTCCCAACTTACGTACCAACAATCGGGTCTTCCACGCATCGTCTTGGTTACAGAATTCTGTTCTAAATGTATCTTCCCAACGTTTGAACCACGTGAGAAAAGTATTTCCACTTTCGGGATCATAGATGAATTCTGGGATGCTGCTAGCAACTGCATCACAAGACGTACTTGAAATAGCATGTGAACTCGAGCTGTGAATGTTGAGCTGTTGAGTCAGGGTCTCTAACAACCGCATTTGTGCATCAAGTTGTGCTTGCTGTTGTTGTAGTATTCGGTTAAGCTGGTCATCTGATATAGGCATCTTGAATTTGTTTTCCTTTTTTCCCGTCGCCACTGTTATAATCTCAGTTTTCTTCTTACGGTTATTACCCAGCTATTCCTATTGCTTAGTATTCTTGGACACCGATTCACTCGACAAGTCCCCAAATCAGAACACGGTTGAACAGGAAAGAGATTATATTCCAAATAGCAAGTCAGAAGCACAATAGGGAAAAACGTCAGTATATTTATAGTTTTTACATAAGAAGATTCCAGAGTATTCTCCAAATATCGACTAGTGCTGATTGGATAAGAATTAGCCAATCAGCGTGCACCAAAGTAATCATGCATCGAGCATGATTTAATCTAGTCTATGTCCCGCTAACATATAGGTACTGGTTAAGTTGAGAAAATTATATGTAACTTGACAGCATGAAACGTCCTTTCAACAGATCTTTCGAGTCGACGTGATAAAATATCACCTGCTCTGTCCCCTTTAAAGTTCAGTTCCGCATACAGGTTTTTTTTAACTGATTAAGTTACAGTTTCTTCTCTTTTTTGTTACCTTCTACTAGGATTATTCTGACGAAATTATCTGGATAACTGTTATTTCGTAATATATTCTTTAATATATCTATGTCGCTTTCCACACTAGCTTTAGAATATGATAGCTTGATTCAGAGAATGGCTCATACCCAAGTAACTAATGAATAAGTTAATCACTTTTATTTATATTTCATGATTTATCTACTTCTCGGAAGTTACATAATTCAAATCACTCCGTTTCTTTCATTTCCATGTTTTTTCTTCATATAAATCATTTTAATCACTATGCATCATTATTTCAAAAATGAACGATACAACTTACATAAACTCCATATAAAACAGTTGACATTTTCACTTTATCAAATAGTGTAATGATTAAAAGTACTCAAAGAGAATAATTAAATAATAAACAACAAAGTTAGATTCCATTAGGAAATATGATATACTTAATATAAATTATCATTGAAACACGACTAGTCATTGAACTGTTAAATGAGAAATATATTTAATTAAATTCAACAAATTATCTTACCGAATACCAATATCATGTGATGATGAATTCAAGTAACTAGACTGTGATATAGTAGTTGAACAATAATCTCTATCAGTCAAAGTCTCTTTGACTACTTCTAAAATAGTTGATCTATTTAAACACTCATCCAAATGATAATTGAACTATGAATGGAAATAATTTTAAAATAATTTGAATTGAAAACCGGCAAAATTAATATATAATGATAGATACAGTATATTCATGTAGAAATATAAAACTGAATGTTTCCGATTACTTCTTATACTGTTACTACATCTACGACCACCGGTTTGAATCAACAACTGCATCTCTGTGCTAATGTGGTATGGCAACTCGAACTGATGTACGTACGTACGTACGAAGTTCTACGTTGTTACTGACTGACTGAGTGATAAAACTAATTGTAATTACTATTATACAATTAAAAACTAATGAGAAACGATTTAGAATATTAATTAAAAACTGAAGTATCTACAAATAAATTATTATTCTATTTCTTAGCGAAATTTATCGAATAATTGTGGTATTTGATTATATTTTCTGTAAGAAACAAAGTTGAAATAGATTTCCGAGTGAAATGTTGGATGTTGTGATGGACGATGTCCAAAATCTAATACTGATACACAGTATGCTAACTGCCAAACCCACTCCCGACTGACTACTTGAGCGAGAACACAAGAGTGAGAAAGTGTATTGGATTACCGAATGAAATGCACAAATACTAATATATACATATATATACCATTCTATCCTTAGGGAATTGACCCATTGACCCCAATGAGAAGCACTTGACCTTTAGATCACTTCTCATTGTCATCGGTTGACTTTCTAATTAAATTACTTATGATTGGCTCTTCGATAAATTTATTTAATCACTTAAATTTTTATGAATATGATTTTACTTCCTAATGTTAAGCGTTCGCGCGGGAGACTGATAGGTCCTAGGTTCAAATATCGCGGGGCGGGATCGTGGATGCGTACTGCTGAGGAGTCCCATACTAGGACGAGACGGGCATCTAGTACTTCCAGGTTCACCATGGTTATCTAGCTTCAACTGACTGATGAATTAAACTATAAAACTACTGTAAAAATATTTATTCAAATTTGGGTGAAATTTCTTTCAAATAATTATAAAAGTTCAGTAATCTTGGTTTACTCAGATTTATTAAAAGAACTAATGGTCATCTGTTTATATGACAAGGACATTTTCTTAAAATTGAGTGGAAATTCAGCAAAAATGTCACGCGGTACTACGATTTAAACGATAGCTACAAAAGAAAGATAAGGACAAATTTGACATCAGACCATAAATTGTAATTCACAAATTGTTGTGTCTTGTTCTTGGGGTTCAATACGGGCTAAGACGTTACGGATCTAAGAACGTGAAACGACTGGACTATTGTATTATGATTGATTCTCTTCGGAACTGACAACAGTCAATTATACTCAACACATCAAACCTCGACTGCTAACACAGGAAGACGAATTGCAGGTAACATGATATTTGTGTTAAGACAAACAACTCAAAGAAAATAGGTCCAATTTAGCGAACTGAAGAGATCATAACAACTAATCAAAGGACAAAGTTCGTGAGAAAAACTGAATTCGTAAGTGTGAAAGTGGTGATCGTTCCTGAAGAGATTTTAGTTTTTCTAATAAAATTTGACTATTCGTGCGACCACCTTAGCACGATTACTTAAACTAACTTTAATAATTCATAATATTATAAATAGCACTACAAAAAAAAACAATAAAGGAATGTGCATACAATTTAAAGCATCCACCAATCCAGTCACAATTGACGGAGAAGATTTGGAAGATGTAAAAAACTGTACGTATTTGGGCAGCATCATTGATGAACAAAGTGGATCTGATGCAGATGTAAAGGCGCGGATCGGTAAAGCAAGAGCAGCATATTTACAACTGAAGAACATCTGGAACTCAAAGCAACTGTCAACCAACACCAAGGTCAGGATTTTCAATACAAATGTCAAGACAGTTCTACTGTATGGGGCGGAAACTAGGAGAACTACGAAAGCCATCATCCAGAAGATAGATAAAAGTGTTTATTAACAGTTGTCTGCACAAAATACTTCGGATCCGTTGGCCAAACACTATTAGCAACAACCTACTGTGGGAGAGAGCAAACCAGATCCCAGTGGAGTAAGAAATCAGAAAGAAGAGCTGGAAGTGGATAGGCCACACATTGAGGAAAGCACCCAACTGCGTCACAACGCAAGCCCTCATATGGAATCCTCAAGGCCAAAGTAGGTGAGGAAGGCCAAAAAACACATTACGCCGGGAAATGGAGATAGACATGAGAAGAATGAACAACAGTTGGATCAAACTAGAAAGGAAGGCCCAGGACAGAGTGAGTTGGAGAATGCTGGTCAGCGGCCTATGCTCCATTAGGAGTAACAGGCATAAGTAAGTAAGTATGTAAGATAAATGATAGTATTCACAAAAACCTAACCTTAAAATCAAACAAATGATAAACATTTTTTTTCTACTTCATCGCTTTGTTACTTATGATGATTATAGTTAGATCACATTATTATTGTAATTGATTAAATAAGTTGAATATTTGCCAATATATTATAGTAAATTTCATAGACAGACTGGAATGTACACTAAGTTGTTTAATGATCAATTTATGCATTAAACTCTAACGGGTTATAAGAAGGAATAACACGACAGAAACTTGTTAATCATAATATGTAAAAGCAATTTAAAAGTTTTCTTTTACTGGCACAGTTATTTAAGTAATTTATCAAAATCATAATCTATGACCTTGATTTAAACAAATCTGTTAGAAGTAAAGGATATTTTGTTTCTTTGAAAACAAACAACCAAACAAATAAACAAATTCTTTAAATATATTTGCTTAAATTAAAATAAACTTAAACTGACTAACCTTATCTTCTGAAGAAAATTGAAAATCTTTATCACAGACAGGACATGTAAAAAAGTAACCAGTGCTGTTATCAGAAGATGAAGCTGATGCTAACAATGATAATGATGGTTCAAGCGATAAATTTAATGAGATGGATGAAGATGGTGAACTAATTTCATTATCTCTAGTTAATGAAGAAGATTTAGTCCATTGTGTAATCTGAATAATTTGAGCGATAAAAAATTTGAAAGTATTTATGATAGTTAATGAACAACACTGAATGGTTTATTGATCATTTAGGAAAAAAAAGTCAAAAGAGATGAACAAGATGGTCATATCTCTTTGAAACTGGCTACTTTGATATGTTCAAAGATTAAAATACGTTTGATTGAACTCTGTGTTAAATTTTATATAAAGAATCCGTCATATAACTAATGAGATGGTACATTGTAGTTTCATTTGTATAATTGTATGAATTTTGAATAGAAATCATAAAATACTTCTAATTAATCGTCTTATATCCCAAAGTTCTAAGTGGAAGCCCAGGAGAAGGAAGTTTAGCAAAGTATTACGTATATACATTTCAATAGAGTAAGTGATGAGTCATAAGTACTGTAGTAGATGAAATAGGATGAAGTTAAAAATGGGAAGATAAACCAACAATTGGCAGATTTATAAACTGAATTATAACCCAAGTGCACCACTTACATATTTTATACTGAAATGAGTAAAATCTGGTTTGTATAACTGAATAAACAATGTGAAAATATTACCTCAATCAGTGAGCAATATGAAAACCAATCATGAATCTATTCTTCAGAAACAATTTTGAAATGCGATACCTCACCAGATAATCTGCATCTACCAACACATCTCAAACTAAAACATAAATTCATGGATTGATGCTGTCTTGGTTTGGCCATGGCTAAACACACCTACACCAGCAAGTAACCTACGTCAAGGTAGGCAGTGGTTAAACTAAACGTAAAATAAGTTCTAATCATCTCAGTCTATGAAGGTTTACAATCTCATTAACCAACACTATGCTTAACCTCAACACTGTTCACGAAACGTAAGAAATACTTAGAATAAATATCGGATTAAGAACCTGAAGTTTATACGCATTTTCTATGTTTAAGTTCATGTTTCACAGTCATAAGATAATAATAGAATGGACTCCTGAGTACCATACTCGCTCTCTTTCTGGTAGAAAGACACTTCATCTGTAACGCAAGTTGGTAAACAGACGGTAATGAATAAAACGAAAATTATTAATACTATTAATATTGGTTCGATTTCAAATAGGAGTTGACCATTTAATAAATGTCACCACTTTAAAGAAAACATAATAATCAGCCCAGTCCAACTTTTGTGAAACATATTTTAATGCTTACTTAGTAGTTCATACAATGTTTGATACATGAAGTAATTACTATGAAAGATTATCACACTATTACTTAATAAACAGGTTATAACACAAGTTGTGTTTTATTCTGAAGATTTTCATTAATAAACTTACCAATGAAGAAGAATTACAACCGACCATTTTCTTTCTATCATTTTTTTGACTAGACTTTGTTAACTTTTTCAGTCTATTTTTTGTTGATTCAACTGATTTAGGTGAAGATATCATGTTATGCGATTTAATAGATGTTTCAGTGTGTAACCGAGTTTTAGAGATTGTACTGGGATTTTTTTCAGGACTAGTATTATTGCTTGTTATTGCAAACATAAAAGCTTCCTCAACACTACGTTGACGAATTTGTGGACACATTTCCACTGGTAATAAGTTGGACATGCGTAAGCCTAGAAAAATGGCAACAAAGGGAGCACAAATTAATGAGTTTTTTTTCTTATTTTCAACATTTTTTTATTACCAAATCGACACAAAAATACGTCTCTCCATCGGTTTATTTTAACCGTTCTTGTTTACTAACTTTCAAAAACTACGGAAGCATTAACTGTTAATCTGATCATCAAGTTAGAGAAAGCAAATAGTCTGTACATACCTATACAGCTCAAACGACGATCAATGATTTTATTGACTGATGCCATGTTTTAGTATAGCCGCTTCTAGCTTCATTTCAAATTACTCCTATACAAGTAAACATCGTCCAAAAATGGTCCGCATTTGCGTCCTTGATGGAGCTATGAGTATGCATTGGTGAAGTTCCAAATACTAGAACGAAATATGTATGGGTTTCAATAGTATCCTAATTGATGTAAACCTCACATAAAGAACCTTCAATAAACCAAACTAATCTCGATAATCCCTCACAATCAGAACATGTTTTGCCTTCTTCCACTTTTTAAGCATATTATTTCTGTGATCTCATTTATTTATTATTATTTCGAAATATCCCATACGTGTAAGAGCTGATTCCGAGTTTGAAAAAACTATATTTTATCAAATTTAAAACTACAACTCCCTTCTTTCTCTAAATCTGTGAAATTAAGCATAGAATCCACGCCGTGTTCAGTATTTGTCATACACAATACTTCACTATAAATAAGATTTTTTCTACTAACAATGTTAGTTTATTTGAGTAATCGACTGTTAATTTCTAGTATGATATTTGCAGATAAAAGTATCATTTCTTTATCTATTTATCTGAAGATCAATATTTGAATGGAAATTTCTTGATAAAATTGGAAGTTTAGAGGTTAAGCGTTCGCGCGCGAGATCGAAGGTCTTGAGTTCGATTTCCGCGTGCAGGATCGTGGATGTGGACTGCTGAGGTGTTCCATACTGGAACGAAACCGGGTGTCCAGTGATTCCAGGCTTTCAATGGTGGCCTAACATCGATCGGTTCATGAACTAAATTAAAATATTTGTCATATTGAAATGTTATTATTATTTTTCTTTCAGTGACGTGATAACTAGTTTGAATAATATTTTAAAATAGCTTGTTTTGTGCGCCATAAAACTATGGATGTTTTAATCTATGATAACTTCACTAAATTAATCTACGCTTAATGGACTTTGATTTTAGAGTTTAAGCAGTTGGGAAAAATGGGATTAGTAAATTATCCATTCAATTACTAAATTACATGTTCGAACTCGGTTTAACCTACTTCATTCACATGGTATTAGCAGTTCTCATCAGTATGTGTGTGGTACGAAACATTCAAGTGTACCTGATTGAAATGCAGCAAAGGAAAACAAGCACTACAGAAACCTATGAAATCCAAACACATTTCCCTAGTCATTTATTGTGGAAATAAGGTTAGAAAAAAATAAATTCAGGTCAATTTTATGAAAAAAAGAACCGTAAACTTCTTACCCATAAGACGTAAAGTAAGTGGTTTATTCACAGCTGTGTTCAATTTAAACGCTACCATTTCTTCACGCAATAATTCACGACCGAATGAATTGATAATCTCTGTATGATTAGTGTAATCTGGTAGGAGTTGTGATCTTGTTCGAATTTCAAATGTATCTAATTTCATTTTAAGTGTGATTAACTGACCCTTGAATAAACGAAGAAAAAAAAACAATTTTCCATGAGTACAATATATATGTATCTACCAAAGACATAATATTTATAAATATCGATTTTTATGTGCGGAAAAAATAAAATGGGTGAATATTCTTTAAATAAAGGCTGATACTAATAATATGTCGTAGTAACATAACTTAAACTGAGGCCAAATGAAGGGGTATCACTAAATCAATCAAACACTATGTATCGCTTCATATCTTTCTTTCTACGAACCAATTCTTCCTTCTTGTACTATATCTCTATATGCAATCTTTCTCTTATATATTACCACCTTTGCCCTAACCACTGCTATGAATCCGGTGTTCATCTTGTTGTGCTGATGCGGTATGGCAACCTGGACCGATGCACATATGTGCCTGGTCCTACGTTGTAGCTGACTGACTGACACTATGTAAGAGTGTCATAAATACCGAAGGTTTTATTGCACATTATGGTTGTGTCATCAACACATCTATACTAAAAGATTTTATTACTGGTCATTTTAAGAATGTTAATAACAACGCTATCTAGGAGTTCAAATTCTATAATTCGAACTAAAATACTTAAAATCAACCGTGTTCAAATGCACTTATCAGTCTATGAAAGTAAGACTGATTTATCTAAAAAACATTCAATAACTAAAACTTAATAGAGAGAATCAAAACATTTTAATAACTTGTCCAGATAAATGAACAGGATTATTAGTACTTGATTAGTAAAACTATATAGATAAAATAAAGGATACATTACAGGATGTTAGTACTTTTCCACAGTCTAATAAAGAAAGTAATAGAGAAAAAATACTTAATAGCTTAAGAAGTAATTTGCAATAAAATCTGAGTAATTAAAAAAAGTCTAAAATTATCAGCTTCTAGAATATCTAGACTATACAACTTATCTAAAGTATGTAAGAATAGATTAGCTAATCATCCTATTCGAGATGTGGCTGAGTTATCGTATTACTCGATTGAAAAGTGGATAACTCACAAAAGTGAGTCAATTCTTAGACAAGTTTGTAAGCAATGTAGACGTTTTCAATAAGATGAAAACTTTATGAGATGATAGTTGGTTATTTACGAATGTATCGTTAATAAGAGACAATAGGTTTTTATTGGAACTATATCGATACTAATGGGATATCATCATTAGGCATCCCCTGATAGAGGATGCTCAATGTTTACTTAAAACGACTTATACTGAAATGCACTATAGATAAACAATTCAGCTGCAATGATGAGCAATATCTCTAGACAGACTGTATAGCGTTAGGTTCTTTAATGAGTCCACCACGAGTCCGTTTCATCATTGACAGCATTGCTATTAGCAGTTTAAAAATTCATTGTTCTGGATTTACCAACAACTCTACTTAGAAATTAAATTTCTATTCACTGTTCCAATCATCTTACAACATGGTTTGAACAAACTCGAATTGTGTATGCTTTCCTTTTGTTACTATTCTGTGATCTTTTAATTGCTTTATTCTAACACTGTCATAGTGAGTGAGTTATCAACTTCATCATTTCCTAAGAATATCTAACATACATTCAAACTATCATTTAGTCAATCAAGAGAAAAACTGATCGATTTTTCCCCTACATTATACTTGCTGTCAAAAATGGTTGCTATTGAAAGATGAAAGTTAAATAATCGCATCTTCAACTAAAAACTCAATAATATCTATCTATTACGACTTATCGTCAAATATACGTTGCGAGACCATCTCTTTTGTTAGCAACAAACAGAATGATCTAACTAATATGTTCAAAATCTTCGTTAGTTTTGCTTTAGAAAATGTATGGAAGAAATTTGTTAGAATGAAGAATTCTAATTAAACTTATTGAATTGAATTAATTCACCAATGAAAACATTCAGAAGAACTTTGAACGGAAGTAATTTAAATTATTATGAAAATTACAATTATCAAAACTACTTCGTTTCCGTCATCATTTGAACGACATACTTAAAGATAATTTATAGTTAATTGCATCAAATTATCTTACTAATTTGTTAGTTTGTGCTAAATTTACAATCAAAGAATTATTTATATGTATTTATTTGAACACATAAACGTTGGTATAAGGGGGCACCATATACGCCACAAAATAACAATGAGGTTGTGAAGAGATAGAGAATATAAAGTGTGTATAATAAAAAAGAATAGTAATGAACAGGAATTAGTGTATGAGAGTGGAATAAAAACGATAATAATAATACATAACACCATATCTATTGAATATGTTAGCGATTGTTTGAACTCAGTGCTCAGTACACCCTCGATTCTACGGCAGACCCAAAATACACAAACCAAATATTCTACTAGCTTTGATTGAACTCAGTGTCTCAATAGATAATGTCTTGGTGTTTAAAGCAAAATACACTGAGTTTAAATACCGATATTAACATTAACATTAAATTACAAGTGTATCCGGATGATGAGTCCCAGGCGGGACGAAACATGTGTCCTGGATACGACTGCTAGATATAGTATATCTGGTCTATAAAACAAATATATTTTATATTTTTTAGTCCTAAGACATTTTTTTCATACAAAGAAAAAAGGTTTAGATTGACACTTTCCAACACTGGATTCAGATTTAACGATCTAAACACGTAGTGATTGCTGAAACATATAAAGGTACTAAACGTGACATTATAGGAAGCCATGAATGAACATATTTTTGAGGACTCTCAAGTTTTAACGAGACGGTTATTCGATATTCTACAATTCTATATAAATTTCGAAATCATGCCGATCCATTTCGAAAGAATTTATCAACTAATTACAAAAATCGTTTAAAATTAATTTCATTCAAGCATATTTTTATTACGTAAAATATATATACAATTAACTGAACAATAGATGACTACCTGTAATCATGTCACTATTAAGATTCTCATCTGTACATTTCATTAATATTTAAATAAACAAAGATTAAATTATTAAGCAGAGACATATAAATAAGAAATCTTATATCATATCTATCCTATTTGGGACTCGTAGGCTAGATGTGCCTGATTACCGGAGTACATGTAAACTCCATGACTCGAACCCAGTACTGGTCATTTCAAACGTCATGGCGTTATTCACTTAGCTACTGAGTTCAGATAGCTACTACCTTGTGCAATGCAATGAAGTTTAATTTATTTATATTGGTTGTTTGAATCTTCCCATTGATGTTTAGCACTGAAAATGATAAGTCACTTTTTCGCCTATGTGCATACTGTGTGGATTGCCTTGATATTGCCATCAAGTTACAATCATTATAAGCAAAGATGAATGGTCTATTGTAGCCCTAAACATCGTCAAGACGATTAAAACAACGAATACAAATGAACTATCTCTTCTATGTTTCTTTTTAACCATAATTTTAATTTGAACCAATTGGATTTGACTCTAGTTCCTACAAAACATAAATTTCGATTCATTTACTTAGATACACAATTGCTTATTTCTAAATCCGACGGTCGTTTACTACTACTAGTAATAGTAGTATCCTTATTGATGCATCAGAATCTTCAATTTTATTAAGAAATCAAACTGTTCTATGTCATATCTATCTTGCTAACCTTATTTCATTATTAACAATCACTAAACCAATACATTTTCATCTAAATTTTCTACAAAAGTATTTTGATATGTGTATTTACAAAATTTCAATATTAACCCGAGTTGTAAGCAACTAGAGATAAAGTTGTTTCTATTTTCATTTACCTGTTAACTAAAGAAATTGAATCTATCACAAATAATTACAATTAGTTTACAAATAGAATATTAAATTTTCTTCGATTATAAATACAATAATTTGTAAATCTTAACTAGTTAGAGACAAATAAAGAGTGTGTAATGTGCATTTCAATACTCAAAACAGTTAAATGTTTCAACTCAAATAGTTTAACAGATTGATCTACATAATGATGAGGAAAACTGGCAGCTCAAATGAATGCTTTGGATTATTCTCTGAACTATATAGCTAAAGATTTCATTATTACTTCATAATATTATTAATGCTTACTGTATGAAAAAGTGAGTATTTTAGTTATTCTACAAGTATTATATCAGTTCATTCTGACAATTTTGTTATTAATCGCCAGTCTTCATAAATTTTGTCTCTATTTATTTTACAGTTAGATAAAATGTATTTTTCCTTTGACCTCTTACGTTGTGATTGATCGACCCTTCTGACATTTTTTTAAACCCATAATATACACGTCTTTGGTAAAATACCACTACTCGCTTTTTCAAAAAGTATACGAGGACAAAAAGTCTGATTACCGTGAATGTTCAGTTTCAATGTAATAGTGAATATCTTCAAGATAGGTTTTAGACTTTTTTATAAGAGCACTTAAGAATATCAAACGGTTGACAAAGAGAATCAGATTTAAAAAATCGGAAACAGGAACGATTTCAGTAAAATCTACAAAGCTATAAGGTAAATAGTTCAGAAATTCAACCAAGCCAATATATTTTTATGCAACACTTGATTAGTGAAAATTCTAGGGTTAGAATAAGAATAAATTCTGAAAAGAGTAACCAGACAAAGAAAATATCAATTTATGAAGCCAAAGACCTGTGAAGGAGACCATGTTTTCTACAGAGCGTTTGTTGAAGGTTAACAGATGAGCGATTGCAGATAGTTAGTTAAAATGGCTCAAAGCATTTCACAATTGTGTAATTATTGAGCTGTCAGTATATGTTCAATATATAAGTTAAAAAGGATAACATCTAATTCCTTAATTAATACTTAGTTCAAAATCTCTCTCTTCTTGTCTGATTATTTTGTATGATGTGTAAATTAATCACAGTAAACTGATCCGAGTAATCCAAAAGGAGTCACATTGTTCAGTCTCAAAATCTATAAAGTGTTAACTACATTAAAATAATTGTATGCGTCAATTTTAGGTGAATAATACCCCGAAACAACATCCAACAAATAGTTTCCGAATATAGAAGAAGACAGGATATAATTCCGACCGACTAATCATACATGATCAAAATCCTGTGATACTGCATTATCACTTCCCTTTCCTATTTATATATTTGATTCGTCCTTTTACCCTAATAATTCATCAATTTCACATTTTATTCTTACCTCTCTAACTGTATATTTGAGACTTGTTTATGAATGAATGCTTTACCTCTTTAAGAAGGTCTAAGTCAAGGAAATGAGATTTAAACCATTTGATAACGTATATCATCTAGGTATACTGTTAATATCTTGCTTTAATTGCTTGTCTTAATTACTGATTAGCGCTCGTTAGGCTATTTTGAACCATTGTTATATATTGAGTAAGGTTTCTTGAAAGTCCCATAAATAGTCGTCATTGTTATAATATCTGTGAGTAATTATTGTACCGCGTCTTTGCACCTCTTTGCAATGTATAAGCTGGATTAACAAGATTCATTTGAAATACACGTCAACTTGAGTACTGAGGCTTTTACGCGTCACCTCCACTTAGCCTTGACAACGTCAAAAGTATTATAAAATGACATTCTGTATTAATTTCATATAATTTCAGATTTCATGCAGTAACCGAAACATATTAAGATAATTATATCACCCTGAAATGTAGTCTTCATAATATGATTTTGATGAATGTATACGCAATTAATCTGTCTCACAAAATGTCTAATTTCGTTTGAAGGAGGTAACCAAAAAAGGCGATTCCATAAGTACACATTACGTTCCCGATTATAAACAAATATAAAAAAGATAATTGAATTTACATTTATATGAAGAGGAAAAATCTATCAATATTATCTTTGTTATGGATGCTGAGGAATAATATGCCAATCATTATCATGTTAAGTCTAATGATGAACATTTCCTATTGGCCGTTATTTATTTCACTCGTTAAATATTGTACAGATGTTGTTTTCTATTTTTATGGTACCATGTGGTCTGTTTGGTTAGTATATAAATAGAGTATATCTGAAATATAATGATTCATAACTCAGAGGCTAAGACTTGCGTTCTAGACGCAACTGGCTGGGCTAGACAGGGAAGCGGGACTCTAGGTCGTCCTTACGTGTTTTACGTGTCACTGATTCGATCGATAAATATGCTGCGTATCTAACCTGCAGTCCACACGTTACAACAATCTTCACAAAGGGAGTTTCGAAACTTAGATATCCATAGACTTATATGTATTAGTGAGGTATTCAAAGTGTCAGTAACAGTTCTATGATGAAATTTTATTCGAATTCACATTGTCCAATCCGCGATGATGTCAAATGACTTAGTTCAATATTCACATTGAATATACGAATCATAAAGTTTTTGTTACACAAATACAATATTAAGTAATTTTTCTAACAGTAATACTACGTAAAATGTAACTTCATTATTACACATTTTCTTACTTTGACATGTTCCTCTTTTAAATCAGTTGATAGCATTTGAGCAAGTTGTTCACAACGATGCATTAATTCATTTTCATCGGATGTATCTGAAAATGTTCTAGAAACGTGAACAACAATAATAATAGTAAGTGATAACGATAATGTGATTGATAAACACAATTTATAACATTGGAAGTTAAAAAACAAACATAATTCACCATATTACCATGATTGTTTTCAAGTGGAATATTATGGGTAATTGATGTACAAAAACTATATCAGTAGTAAAATCTTGTCAATAAGAATACAACTCAGAGTTAAAACAACAACTTAACTGGGTACAAAAAGAATAAAATAGAAAATACTTTGACAATCAGAGGATAAACAAGGAAATTTTAAATTAACGACTAAGCTTAAAACAAGTAATACTACTTTCACAGATTGAAATCATGAGTCAGTTGAAGCTAGACCACCATTGAAAACCTGAACGGCCGTTTCGCCCTAGTAAGGGACTTCTCAGCAGTGCGCACCCACGAACCCGCACCACCCGGGGCTCGAACCCAGGACCTACTGGCTTCGCGCGCGAGCACTTAACCATTAGACCACTGAGCCGGCATCCAACGGTGTTAATGTCTAACTTCAACCAATCCACGAAGTTGCGCCACCATATACCATTGTCTTCAGTGAGCTGATATCTCACAACAGACCTCGTTGTACTCCACTGGTAACGGCTTCCCACTAGAACTCCAGGAGTATCTCTTGAAGTCAGTCACTAGTGAGCAGATGATTATTATCAGAAGTGGTTTGTGGAGATTTTTAGACATTTTCACAGATTGAAATCATGAGTCAGTTGAAGCTAGACCACCCGCACCACGCGGGATCGTGGATGCGCACTGCTGAGGAGTCCCATACTAGGACGAAACGGCCGTCCAATGCTTCCAGGTTTTCAATGATGGTCTAGCTTCAACTGACTCATGATTTCAATCTGTGAAAAGTTCCCAAAATCTCCACAAACCCCTCCTGAAAATAATACTACTGTTGCTATGGAATAGCTTAGGCATTCCAAGAATAGTGCAGAATAATACTATACTACTTATGGAGAAATACTTCATCAATATCATCATCAAAGGGAGTCAGCTAACAAGGCTAGAAATCTTATTTTTAACTGGAAAAGAAAATGATTATTATACACAGCACGGTTCATACATACTTTGTTCACTGATCCACTCTGGTTGAATAGATTATATTTATTTATTATTGTTATTATATTATGCGTAATCATATTCACCAAAGCTTACAAACAACTTCGTATTAGAATAGAAGTGCATTGATTAAACCGAATATACTAATAAATCAATAGGTTCACATATTTCTCATAAACACTTCCAGGAAAATAGTTGCTCTAAATACATTTTGCTATGAATAAATACAAACGATTTAACTTATTAACTAAATACGAATTAGGTAGTAGACTTTTTAGTTATATTTAAAATGGCTATCTTAGGTTATATAAATCAGGTTCCAAAAATGACAAAGATATAACAGTGTTCAAACTTACGATTTATTAATTGTAAGTCAACTGATAATACGCTTCAAGCATAACTTCACACTAACAAATCATAGAAACGATTAGTTTAGATTAATAAACCAATGAATGTTACAAGTCTGGTAATATTAAGTATTAAAACTAATGATATGTGAGAATGAGAGATGAATATTTACATAATCTAATCAAACTATCTATATTTGCAAAGAAGTGTAAGCAGATAAACTACAAGCTAACAAACGTTCTATAAAGAACTTACTATCTAAACTAACCTTTCTACACTCATACTCTTTCTATTCAATTCTACTTGACCTTGTGCAGAAGGAACGATATTTTCTGAATCATTATCAATAAATCCAAAAGGTTTATTTAACTTCTCATCAAAATGATTTTTTACATTAATTAACCAACGATCATCAGAATGTCCTAATGCAATACGCATGTAATAAACCATTGATATTTTAGTGCTTACATGCCAGAGTAAACCACGTTTATCAATTAAATCAGCACATGTTTTAATTCCAAAAGCATCTAGTCGACGTTCTGTAACATGTCCAATCCCTGGAACCTATAACGGTAGAAAAGTGATATTGAATATCAAATTTACGAAATGTTGTTTTTTAAACAAGCAGTCTAACGGAGTGACTTGATTAGTTAATGTTTGGTAAAGTGGACAAGTAACTGATATTTAAAGACTGTATATGTGGCTCGATTTCTCTCGATCCAAACCTAGGTATAAAAAATTAACTCTTGATTCGTCTGCCACTGGCACGATGACTGATTCATTGCCATTCATCTTTCCCTTCATCCTCGCTCTCTCCTTTTTCCAGATATTCAAAGTTTCCCTTTTTTGACACCTAACCTTTACAAGCATTCTTCATCTAGTCTACAAACCTTAATTTAAACACAATTACACTTTAACCATTAATTTTAGTCAAGTTTTATTGTTGTTAAAATTAGTTCTGTCGTTCTAAACCTGAACTTCTCATCAATCTAACCATTATAGTTAATACATTTTCTCATTTCACATTCGATTATTATTATTATTATCACAATTATTGTTCTCAAAGTTAAAACGATGAAATGATTTTAACTAGACCACCAGTGCAAATCTAGAATCACTGGACGACTATTTCGTTCTAGTATGGGACTCCCTATCAGACATTCAGGATTCGAACCCAGAACCGTCAGTCTCGTGCACAAACGCTTGACCTCCAGACCATTGAGCCACCATCCATCTGTATCAATATCTAGCTTCAGTCAGTCCATGATATTGCTCAACCTTCATTTATTGTCTGTGGTGGATAACCGTCTTACTCGTCGATTCCCACTGCTAAGGAGTCTCATACTAGGACAATACTGCTATCCGGTGCTATCAGGTTTTCAGTGTTATTCTAGCTATTGTGTGATTTAAACAATGAATATTCTACGAACTTCACAAATCACAACTCTAATATTACTATTATTATCGTTATCATTATGACTTTTTCCTTAATGTTATTTTATACTCACCACCATTTTTTTAAAGTTTGAAAGCTATATATTTCAATTGGTAAAAGTAATTCAACATTGTATACACAAGCTAGGAGTCAGCTGAAGTAAAGTGAGGTGTGTACAAATCGAAATGAAAAACAAGCCGATGCAACGAGACTTACTTTTCTCACAGGCATAGTTTGCATAAATTTATCGACAGCTTCTAATGTATTAGCGATTTCATGTTGCCCACATGGTTTTATCCAATCGGAGGCGATTTTTGCAATCAATGTATTCGGACCAAGACCTTAATTAATAATATGACAAGATTAGTTATATTCAATGTTATCAAATATAGATGGTTAGTTTTATTTTTAAAACATAAATAAAATCATGCGACTATGATTCCCAAATAAGATTACACGATCATTCATAGTCGGGTGTGATCAATTTGAACCATGTTCAATGAAGATTTATCTAATCAAATAACTAACAATAAAGACTGAACTACATAAAGAACTAGTAAATAAGAATATTAACTCACCAGCACTACAAGTAAGACGGGTGGCGCAAAAAACACGAAATCGCATTTCTCGAACAGCTTCCCAAGCTGATAAACCAAATATTCGACGACCAGATTTACAAAGTAATCCACATTCAATGCATACATCTAGGTCAGGATCAGAGTATTTCGGTTTTATTATACGTACAGATAGCTTATCAGATGATTTATCTGTTTCTTGACAAGAATTAGAATTACTCTCAGAATTATCATCTATAGGAATTTCGGATTGGTTATCAGTGCAGCTACTATTCAAATTATGAGATTGTGGATGTTTAGAACGTGACCGACAACTAAAGTGAATGGAAAAAAATGGGGAATAATCCTTAGTTAACGACAGTTTTGAATGGTATATCATAAAAGTAAGGATGAATATTTGATATAAATAATCCACTAAAAGGAATGTTTGTGATAATACAATAACAATAGTAATAATAACGATAATAATAACTCTACCTGGTTGGGTAAGCGACAAATGAGGTTAATTAGGAGGTCTATACTTACCTAAATGTGGAAGATTTGTAACTCAGGTGGATAATTTTTGTGGAGTTTTGTTCTCTGAGCTGGATGGTTTGGTCGCGGAGCTTTCATCGTTCTTCTGCTGATGATGTCGTTCAGAATAACATGATAAGCTCCATGATTAAACCATCCAGCACGGAGAACAGAACTCTACCAAAATAGAGACCAGTAAACACCGGTCATTTGTTCCTTCCTAGTACGAGACTCCTTAGAAGTTGAGATTTAGATGGTGGTTGGAGGTAGTCAACAGGAAACCCTGGATCCGGGTTTCGTGCTACTTGGCACTCGTCAGCAAGGTGTACCTATAATCTTGAGGGAACTCGTGCTCCCTGGCGGATTCGATCTCGTGTCACCCAGCTTCACAGTCAGAGACGTTACCACTGAGCTATCCGAGCCGCGACTGACATCCTGTAGGACTGAGATGTAATCACAACTGATTGATCACTGGGTGGTGATCAATGTCATGCTTGTCTAGTCCTTATTAGTGCAGATCGAATGCTATCGATCATGTTGCAGGAGGTTACAGCAGGTTAGTCGCGGCTCGGATAGCTCAGTGGTAACGTCTCTGACTGTGAAGCTGGGTGACACGAGATCGAACCCGCCAGGGAGCACGAGTTCCCTCAAGATTATAGGTACACCTTGCTGACGAGTGCCAAGTAGCACGAAACCCGGATCCAGGGTTTCCTGTTGACTACCTCCAACCACCATCTAAATCTCAATACATAGTGCCCACAGGGTCGAGTCACCTAGACTGGTGGCCACATTGCAACATGATCGATAGCATTCGATCTGCACTAATAAGGACTAGACAAGCATAACATTGATCACCATCCAGTGATCAATCAATCGTGACTCCTTAAAAGTGTTCATCTAAACCTTACTTGATTTATCGTATTCGAATATATTCCATCTTAAAATTCCCTAATTTTATTCATTATAATATAATTATTCTCTGATCACCTTAGAAAATTTCCACATTAATGATTCACAATGACTATTGTGTGGTAATTGGAAAAAAAGCCACATTATAACACTCTTTCGTATAATATCAATAGTAAGAAAATATGTAGAGCAAGAATATCACGTCAATCCTGAAAGTCTACTATTAGTTAAATTGAATCGAATAATTTTATAATTGAACAAGCATATAGTTCATTATTATAACAGATATAAAGAAGTTATTATGATTTCATTGCTTACAGAGTAACAAAAGTTCATCATAGACGACGATATCAAGTATTGTATAATATTATTTAGAATGGGGGTTTGTGGAGATTGTAGTAATTTTAATAGTTGAACTCACGAGTCGATTTGAGCTAGACCACCATTGAAAACATGGAAGAACTGGACAGCTGTTTCGACCTAGTAGGGGACTAACCACCAGTACTCACCCACGATCCCACACGCGGGACTCAAACCCGGAGCCTTCGGTTGTGTGCGCAAACGCTTAACCTTTAGACAACGATATTGTGCGACCGTTCACCAGTGTCTCCAGTGAGTAACTGTCTCACAACAGATACGGTTAAACTCCACTGGTCAGGGCTCCTCATTAGAAATCCAGAATTGATTGAAGTTAGACATTAACATCGTCGCATGCCGGCTCATTGGTCTAGAGGCTAAGCGTTTGCGTGAGGGATCGTGGATGAGCACTGGTGAGGAGTCCCATGCAAGGACAAAACGGTCGTGCAGTTCTTCTACATTTTCAATGATGATCTAGCTTAAGACGACTCATGAATCCAACTATTAATATTATTTAGTTGTTTTTATTATAAAAATCACTTTAATGTGGTTTACTTATTTTACTGCAAGTTTCATGTGTTTGATTTTAAAGGCTAGCGACTTTATATGGATTGAAAAAATTGAATTAAATGGATCGAGAAGAATAAGATTTGTAATAATTCACAATCCTCCCGCTTTATTTAAATTTATCAAAGAAGCAGGATGTATGGAGTGAATAAATCAGAGTTCAATCGTCTAACCATTTGAAAATTGAGTGTTTCAACAGTTAGGCCATAGATTTATGACAAAATTTATTGAAACTTATTTCACAAAATTTTTTTTTAAAACAAGACAGTAAGAAAAAATCGTTTTATTCATTATATTTAGTTGGTAAATTGTTAACAGATGGAATGAAATCTGAATAATTTACAAAGTAAAACACATAACAAAATGACTTGACGTAAGAAGGAACAATTTAAAAACCTGTCATATTCGTGATCTAGTGTTAAGTTTTGTTCGATCTAACCTCATATTATCTTTCGTTGATGTGCACAGGATAATTTTCTGCTTCGGACCACATTAATGTGCATATATAAGTTTATTTACTTTCGTGAATCGGGTTGAATCAGCCGTAAAAACAGAGCACCTTATAAATACATTTCCGAGCACTATTATGCATGACTATCAACAAAATCCAAAGAATTCAATGGCTCAATATATTGGAAACACTCGTGAATTCTGATCATATTGTCATCAAGAATATCCTACAAAATCATCTAGACAGTCAAACGATTGGACTTGATTGCAGTTGCAATTTATCAGTTCTAACTAGAACTTTGAATAAAAACACAGTACGTTCGAATTTGTATTCTACCATAGATCTACAGCTTTTAACTTTTCATATTATGAAAACTTGTTGTTAATATTTTTTTTCCGAAGCCCTTGTCATTTTTATTATTACCATGATGTATTAACTCATTCCTTTTCTGCTTAGGTAGACGATTATCATTTCATTGTTTTCATTTAACCACTAGACAGTTATGCAACTAGTTTATAACAATTGAAACTTCCGTAAAATACGAAGTAACTACTTTCAATTTTTTAATATACTACTAAATCTACTAAGTCACAGACTTTGTGAATGATATCATAAAAATGAAATTTTTCTTCGTCGAACTGTCTTGACTTCTTACTTAATTACACAATAGATCACTCTCGATGATTACGTAGACATTACGTTACGCGATGCATCACAAAAATTTATAAGTGGGACTACTTTTAAGTTGAATGAAATCATCTTGAACAGTGGTTTTAAACACAAGAACATGTTACAAGTTATAATGATTCGTGTATTCTCGACTAAAAATAGAAAAGGTAGTTGGAATTTGGTATGATTTTAATCAATGACAATAAATATCTGCATAGTTCTTTTTTCATTACATTTACAGAGCGATTCTACAGCCTAAAGTCTATTCTTTATCGACCAAATAGTGAGTCAACAACACAACACACACTTCTATTCTGCAACTAAGCATAGATTTGTGTATTAAATTACACTATAAAGGAAATGATACCACCTTGTTATTTACACGCCGTTTTTTATTAACTCATACAGCAGGTACAGAATAATTTAATTGACGTAGGGACACATTTTAAATGTGAGAGCTTCGGTAATTGCCCGTAGCTCAAACCGAAATAGATAGGGTGACTGAAAGTTAAACGATTTAAACACTGAGCCACTATTCTACTTCTCGATAAGTGGATTAACGTTTGAAAATTAGAAGTAATCGGTGGGAAATCTAAACTTCTAATTAGAACCCCACAAATTCAGCAAATAATAAAGGTTAATACTATTGACTAAGAAAAAACTTGCATTTTCAAGACTGATACATTATGACTTGATTGAAATTGGGAAATGTTAGGATAATTAGCGAAACATCTATCTCAGACTTTGTATTTTGTTCATCTGATTTGTTTTGCTTCAGCTACAACAACCACATTAGTTTTTTTATGTACAATTATATAACTCATTGTGATTTAAAGCCATTTATACCCAATGAAAAACCCTATATAAGCACTAATTCACCATATTTTACAATTTTTTCCGTATCTTTCTAGTTTAAAATTCCCAAAAGGAATATGAAAAAAAAGATTCAGTTAACTAATTACAAAGTGATAATTGTCAACCGTTACAAAAGGTGAATAAACTACCCAATGACCATGAAAGGAATTTTTTCAAAATAAGGTTGATTTAAATCAAACAAATATATCATTCATGACGGAAAGTAAGTGTGAAGAAGAATATATCAAAGGTGAAAATGAAATTGGAATTAAGGATGCGTTAAAATATATATGGATGAGTAACTTAATTGATCTATTGCTCGATTGAAGATATTAATGACAATCGAGAATTTATTCAACTCCTCTCCTTGATAATATGATTAACAATGAAAATCAGAACGTGCATTTCATCTTATATGGGACTCGTCAGTTGGATGTACTTGCATCCTGGAATTGATGTTCACTTCGGGACTCGAACCCAGTACCTTCTGCTTCAAACGCCATCGCGTTAAGAGAGTGATCAATTGCAGTCGGAAACACCAATGGAAGATTCAAACAAACAATACCAAATGAACTTACGCTTCACCCTATTTCACAAGCCTGTGACTATCAGGACTGAGTAGCTAAGTGAATCTTCCATTGATGTTTGGGACTGCAATTGATCACTCTCTTAACGCAATGGCGCTTGAAGTAAAAGGTACTGGGTCCGAGTCCCGAGGTGAACATCAATGCCAAAATGCAAGTACATCCAGCTGACGAGTCACACATAAGATGAAACGCACGTACTGGATTCCGCTGCTAGCCACCATCCGTCTTTGCTTATAATCTTAATATTTGTGAAGTATTTAATACTTTGAATTTATTTAATATCTAATACCGGGAATATTATAACTGTAATAAAAAACAAACATTAGTGGAGATTTTGAACGAGATAGCTCATAATTGGGCACAATGGCGTAGATGTATTCACTTTTTCTTCGTGAAGAGTAATCGCTTGAGCAGACATAAATATGTGCTAGGTCCTACAGAGCACGAAATCTAGGTACACAGTTTTCTATCAGGCTAAACCTAACCGCCTAATATTTTTTAGATCTCTCTGTCTATCTGGTTGCTAACAATGTTACCAGATGGACATAATGACCAATACAAATATTTATAAATAAATACATACGATATGTAAAATTGTAAACACTGAATTTTAAAAAATTACCGACAAACCAACATAGGTGCTCCAGGTGCTGGTCTAGGCCAAAATGTACGTCGTTCAACAGGAAAGTCAGAACGGTCTACCAAATGATCTGTTATATCTAGATACGCTTCATCCAAACTGACCGCCGAAAATGGAATATTATCTGATTCACAGGAATTTCGTGCACTCCCAGCAGAAACACTGTATTCCATTAAAATAGATCGTACTACACGACTAGCTGCAGTATACTTTACAAAATCACACGGTATAATTTTCAGTTGAGGACAAAGTTTTTTGCCTAAGAATCCAGGTAGACCAGCACGTACGCCAAATCGTCGAGCGATATAATTGCTTGTAGACTAAAGCAAAACATAATGAGAAGTAATCTTTACTGTACACTTATTCTATATCACTTGAAAATAATTAGGACGTTTCAAAAAAGAAAAGTTTCTTCTTGACGATATCATTTTCCGAAGTTGTACAATCATATTTATCGGCGACTTTTATATGCAGCAGTTTACGGTAGAACAGAGGACTTTTACAAAGTTATCAAAGACCAACTTATTCAAGTGAAAGTCAGCGAGATATAAAATATTGATGGAGATAGTTGACAAGAAAACCTGGACCCGCGTTTCATGCTATTTTAAACTCGTCAGCAAGGTGTAGTGCTGCTCCCATAGAACACAGTTTCACAATCCAAAACGTTATCACTGATCTATTCGGGCTGCGGCATAAGCCACCTTTCAAATTAATCGATAGGATTCGATTAGCACTAAGAAAGAGTTGTTATGCATGACGTTGGTCACTATCCAGTGATCGGCCAATTGTGAAATTCAGTGAAAATGAAGTGGTATTGCATAATCTAATCAAGTATTGAATATTATATATATATATATATATATATATATATATATATATATATATATATATATATATATATATATATATATATATATATATATATGCTCTCACATGATTACGCGTATATAGCATCTGTCAGGTAAGTCCTATTCACTGCCTTCTCGTGGCAGGAGTGTTGCTTATGAACTTGAGAGGACGAAAAGCGAATGTCCGGCGCTTTAACTAGGTTGGTGGATACGGAGAGTCCACCTAGAGGAGTTGGGAAACCCTCATTCCAAATCAATGATGGACATGAGCTCCAGGATCCTGAGGGAACAAATGGCATATGAACCTATTGTTGGTCACCGGTTACTATGGAACCGCATCTCCTTACGTTGCTCCACTGCCTTGTGGATCACACCTCTAGATCAAAGGCTCGGAGTGTGGCCCCTCAATAAAACCACGTGCTTCGGTTTGGACACCCGGGCAGTATCCCAGCCCTCACATAAATCGAATGATTTATGTAGCGCATATCTTTTAGGTGCCTCCTTGTACCAATGTTTATGTGTTTAAATAAATAAATAAATAAAATAGTAAATTCTTTATTACTTTTATTGCTGATAAACTAGGTATTTGTCCAGTTTACCATACAGTATATGATAAATAATCTTTTCTAAAACGTACTAGCATACTGTTACTACCGACAGCAACTGGATGATGCCTAAGTTCGGGTTGATCACGTATTTCAACAGCTGCATAAAATGCATCCATATCCACATGCACAATGATTCGAGAAAAACGTCGTTTCTGCCCTAAATCTTTCAGTATGTGATCTGCCTAGAATGCGAGAAAAATTAGTTGATGGAACAACCAAATTTAATATGAATAGATAATTTGCAAAGTAAAACCAATTAGATTAAAAGCTGAATCAGTGGGGAACATCTAAAATTTTACAAGGTATAACGGTGAGACTATAATTTATGGACGAATCAATCAGATTTAGGATAACAAGTCTTGGATTTCGGAGCGAAATTCATCCAACCGTTTGGCTAAATAGCGTTTTGGCATTTTAGCTGATGTCAGTTCGTGATGAAAACATTAAATCTAAATCCTAACCTTAACCATCAACGTTAAATCATAATCCTAATTCCTCACACTGGTTTACAACCCTCATTTGGTCCTAGTTAGTAGGTCACATTCTAAAAGTTACTTAATCGTCGCTCAAACGTCGTCCACAAATTATAGTCTCACTGATATAACTGTTAGGAAATCGTACAATCAGGAACACAATGTACATCATTCGAAAGTGAAATAAACAATAATCAATTATTATATCCACGCTATTTCAAAGCTTTTTCTTAAGCATGAAACATTTTAGAAATTTATGAATACATGAAGATATATATTGATTTCTGACTGTTAATCAAAACGCCAGTAAAGCATTGGAAAAAAAGCTTTTGATTTGAGTAAGTTTCTCAATATTACAAAAGCGGGGCGGGATCGTGGATGTGCACTGCTAACGAGTCCCAAACTAGGATGAAACGTCCGTCCAGTGCTTCCAGGTTGTCTATGGTGGTCTACCTTCAAGTGACTTATGAATTCAATTATTAAATTACTACAATCTCCACAAAACCCTTCACTGATTATAAAAGATGAATGACCAGTAAAATTGAGTATCTCTTTTTCTAATGAATATGCTATACATATCCAAGAGACTTGTGCGCTGAGAATTCCATACTATGCTAAACATATAATATTGAATAATTTTAAGAGTTGAGATCATAATTCAACTTAAGCTAATAAAGAAAACTAATAAAATAATACTATTATCATTTAACTTTAAAATAAGGACCAAGATGCCGGGTAAAAGTATTAATAACAAAACGTTTTTCATCCAGATGAACATATACTTAGTTAATTTGAGAACTTGAACAAAACGCTATACTACTCGAGAAGAAATCTTGTTCCAGGTCGTACAGAATAAGTAGATTATTTAACTATGTAGACAAGATAAAAGCTCTGTAATGAAAAAAAGAAGCAATGGAAAGAAGTGTTAGTGATTAACAAGAGGAAAGTACTGGAAAATATTGGATAAGGAAGTGTCAACTTCAAATAATTTAAGATGCATCGCACCTGTATCTCCAACTACCGAACTCGGGTATCTTTACAACCTGACTAAATTAATTTCGTAACCAAATTTTAAATTTCATATGAAATAATTAATTGACAATAAGAGACGATGAGAAAGAGAGGAGAAAATGTACTCACTTCTAATTCACCACTTTTTAACATCGCCGGTGTAAGTGATTTTATAACTTTAAGCTTTTGTTCAATTTGTTGACGAAGAGCTTTTTCCCGCCTCAGTTCATTTTCATAAAACTTTGACCCTTAAATAATTGAAAATTTGTTAGTAAAACTAATTCCGTTGTATTAATGATCGTGAGTTCAAAAATAAAGTTCCTTACAGTTATTCGAAAGCTTGATCTAACCATGATACCTAAAATATACACAGATCTGTATTATAAGCGAAGTATATGGTACAAGACTACTTCCTGTGTTGTAACAGAGTAGCAAAACATCTTTTGAATGGGAAAGATATATTAAAAATACAGATAACGGTTACTAAAGTTTTTAAGCATTATAGGTGTCTTCGGAGCATCGCTCGTATATCCTGGGACCACCGAGTAAGTAATATAGATGTTAGGAAACGAGTATTAGGTAAGGATGGCAAATCAACTGATGAGGTCTCACTACTTCATCAGTTGAGATGGCTAGGACATGTGTTACATATGCCCAACCACCGACTGCCCCGACAAGCGATGTTTCATGGTGTAGGAGTAGGTTGGAAGACCAAAACATGGAGCAAATCCATGAAGTCACTGACAACTGGACTGAGCCATGTTGGGATCTGCGAGACGATAGCAACCGATGGTTAGAGACCTTAAATGACATGGCTCAAAATCTCTTGCGATGGCGCAGGTGCATCCACTCTTTGTGTTCTCCCAAATTCTAATCTTCTGAATTCTTCATTTCCCTTTTCTTCTCTTCCCGAATTTATTTCACTGGATCATACTCCTTGAATAACATCTTGAAACCCTAATCTTTCCGATTACTGCTTATACTTTTACTACTTCTACCACTATGGGAATTGAATTAACAATTTTATCTTTGTGCTAATGTAGTATGGCAACTTGAACTGATGAACGTATGTATGAAGTTCTACGTTGTTGCTAACTGATTGAAGCATTATTTTGGTTCAATGGGACCATTTAGTAATGGCAAGGTTATTGACAAGAGCGACCTAACTAATAGTATTATGATACTGAATTAACTATGGTTACAGAGACTTGCGTTAAAAAAATAACCCTATTATTTCCCACGATAGGTAGAGTGGCGTTAAAACCCCTATTCTAATGAATGGAAGCTTACTTCTTGACTTAATAGTTCACGTTACACAACAAATCAAAACCCCAATTAATGACGTCACTAATCGCAGACAACAATCATATCAAGAATCCAACCCTTTACACTGTAGTTCGCAAGATATTACTATGTAAATTCACTAGGTGAAATGAATCTACATTTGAGAGGACAGCTTGAAATGACATAAGGTTGTAAATGATCTATCATTGAGTCATCAGTACTTTCGTTAGCTAGGCTATAAATATACTGAATTACATTAAATACAAAAGAACGGACTCATAAGTACATTTACAGGGAACTTTAGCTTAATTATTCATTGATCTATATAGCCGAATTAGACAACCTTTGACATCCTATGGACTTTTTTATATAATATTACGTATCAATATTATGTTGATGGTATTTTGAAGTATCTTAAAGATGAAGAATGTTCATTTCCTCTTATTTTAAACTTGTTACTTATATGTATGATTTGGTCACAGGTATACAAATAATAATTTTAAAGTGGAATAAGACAAGAAATTCAAAAAATTAAAGAACTGAATATGCCAAATATTCAATTCGTTATTATTGATATCATAATACTAGAATGAATACTTACAAGCAAATAGTGCATTTATGTAAACTATGGATTAATTACTAAATAAAATAAAATCAGGCAGTTAAAAAACTACATAATTTTAACATCAATAACGCTTTTTTACGGATGAATTTGTTATATATCGTCGGATTTCAACACTATTTCGTACGTCTATTTCATCTTACAATAAGTAACTGCAGAATATCTATACATCATTTGTTTCATGAATCAGCAGATCACTAAATATGTCAACGAGTATTTCCATCAATATTTTATTCAGATGAAAAAACAGCTTAGTGATGAAAGCATTCGACCTTCAACCAACAGGTTCAAATCTCAAACTCTGACTAGGGACTGTCAGGTTGTATAATTAACCATCATGTCAAAACGCAACTTCAAAACATGTACATAAAACTGTACATGGTTAATGATCTACAAGAATTTCATTTCATTTAATGAAAGCTGAAAAATTTTGGCAAATTGTCAAGTGAACAGTTATATATATATATATATATATATATATATATATATATATATTCTACAAAATTCACCTTTGGAATTCTCCAATATAATATTCATAATTGTGGCTTTATCTAAACCTTCCATACCAGCTTTGCTCGTACTATATCTACAACAACCTTCCAGATCACCACTCATTATAGATGCACCTAGAATACAGTAAATTAATAATCATGTGGGTAATTAACACGTTCCATATATATATATATATATATATATATATATATATATATATATATATATATATATATATATATAGGTTTTCTTTTAATGATAATGAAAGCATGTAAAAATACTATCATAAAAAACAGTAACCAAGGTTTGATAGGAGTAATTACTGTTATTTGTGATGTCATAATATTATTATAGGTCAGACCTAACTTCGGATTGTAAAACACTGACGGATCACACCCCAGGAGACGGAAAAATATTTTCTCGTATATACTACTGTATGGTGCATAGTTCATAACTCCGTTAACTTTACAAAACGCTCTGTGGATGAAATAGGCCGATTAGAATCAGTCATCGTGCAGAACCTAGCAAGAATAGTTAGCGACCAGAATTCTGAATTAATTTAGACTGAATAATTATTGACACAGAATTACTTCATTGTTTTCGTTTAATATATTTAGGCTTTTTCCTACTTACTCTACAAATATGCATCACATTAATTTGTAACTCAGACCGAACTCTTAATATTTTCTAGCTTCCTTTAACACACAACATTACGTCTTGTTTGCGAAAGATGAACTTAACAGATTTAGATTATAGATAGAAAATACGTTTATATTATTCTCTATTCCTTTATAAAACATACGAAACAATATAGGACTTATATATTTCGAGCCAATCCAATTTTAAACTGTTTTCTACTTCAACGCCGAAACGAATATTTGAAAAATACAGCATATATATATATATATATATATATATATATATATATATATATATATATATATATATCTTATTCTTTGGTTGAACATATTAGGCGACATGGATCAAAATTGCCCCTTAATGGTATAATCTCGTTCAATCTTTGTTCTATCCTCATTTGTGTCATTTATATTATATTATACTAATCTTTCCTAATGACGTGCTAAGGTGTGACAACCTGAACCGATACATATTAAAAGGGAAAACCTTGTCTAATATATATATATATTATTATTATATATATGTACATAAATGAAGAAAAACCAGCAACCAGAGATACTATATGTTTTCATCTCGGTAACTAAATAGTTGGTAAATAAAAAAATTTGCTCATTTTCTCGATAACGATATGAAAGATAATTGAGAAATTGTAGTTTGTATCTCATTTGCCACGTACAAGTTTCCGTACTTAAAGCCATACTGTGTGAAGGTTAAGTATGCAACCTACACCAAGATAGAGGGGTTCGAAGCTGTGAATTGCCGGTTGATATTTAATTACTCTAATCACTGTCACTACACTGTGGCATAATAATTTCCTAACTTGAATGTCGAAGCTTTATCTCTTCCATTTTACACTGTTAACTAACCATTTTATCCATCGCCTGTCTGTCAAAGCAATGTATATTTCTTACGAGTGATATGTAAAAGAAACATTGATAATTACAAAACTTCGGTAATATAGCTCAGATATATTCATACCTCATGTCATTCTAAGGCATAGACATTTCAATGTCATGCGTTAGGTCGTAAAAGCAAGAGATGGGGATATTCCTAATTACTTTATTGTAAAAGGTTAAGAATAACCGGTTCCAGAAAAATGCACCTTACACTTTGTACTCCGCAGAAGTTTTTTCCCCTTATTTTTGGATCACGCTACCAGACAATACTCAGTAAAATGAGATACTAATAAACATGCCACACAAAACCAAGTGACTATAGTGTAAAGAAATAGGAACTATTTGTTAAAAATATTAAAAAAGAGAAGTCAAAAAATAGTCTAAGTAATGACAAAACCAAGGTAGACTCCCATTCAGCAGAGACATCAAACTGTTTATGAAGAACTAGACCAAGATCACCGCTGGTTTTAAGTGTGAACTAAAACTAATAAAACCTTGAAGTATTAGTTTTAATGATCTCCAGCATCCACACTGGCAAGTCGTGAAATGATGAGATGTTAGTCGTTTGTAACTGCAATCACTACAGCAATCTACAACGAAATTTCTGGCTAGAACAATCGGTAGCACTGGAGGTGGCCTAGATCACAATAACCTCTATCAACTACAGGAAGGCTGAACCCGTCTTACACACTAATACTTATAAAACTACACAGCAGCATGGAATTCACTATTTCCAATGATTCAAGACCAAGGATGGGTGCAAGCACGTAGCTTTGCACTTATTGTGGTAAATTCCACTTCAATGTTGGAAGGCACATACCACATTTACGGATGCTAGTCAGAATCTGGGTAGTTATTTTACATAACTTTCTGTACGTTGTCCGTAAATGACCGTCAGTAGTTGTTAAAATATTGTAAACTAAGGGGATTCCATCCTTACAAACTACTTTAAATGCAGTTAAACCACCAGGCATGCAACTATGAGGCTGCATAACGAATTTCAGACACAAAAAGGTTGTTAGTCGAGATTCCTAACTAGCGTCCAATAAGATGGTTGGGAAAGGTCACGCCACCCACCTTAATGCGAGGCTGGTTCTAGTTTGTAATAATACAAAGATGATCAAATTAACACACTTCACAAGTCGATTAAGTTACTATCAGCCAGAAAAAAAACAGTTGTTGGAGATCATGAGAGATATGCATCAGTATTAAAAACACTAAAATGTATTCATTGGATTTATTTCTTTATTTTCTTTACAATTACAAAGTGCCAAATAAACTGGCACACATTATCAAAAAGCGTTTTAAATTGGCTTGTGATCCTTATAAAGTAAATAATATAGTAGTTAATAATATATGGAAAATAACTTCATAAAACACTCAAATACTAAAGAAGAAACTGTTTAGCCCAATAGCAGTACAACTGATTTTTTTTAAAATCCCGTGTATAACCAATGAATATTTAAAAACCTCGTTAACACTACGCTTAAAATCAATCGCGGAAATCGTTGACAGACTATAAGACCTTTGATTTTCACGTTTTATTCCAAAAATGATCCCAAAAGGATCACTAATCCAGTTTATACATTTGAACACAAGTAAATCGTTGAAAAACCACCCTAGGTTATATCACTCAAGTGAAGGAACTGGGCCATGGCTATTCCAGATTTTCGACTTTTTGAACGAGTCAAAACTCAATTGGGGGAACTGCTCTCATATGAATGGGAAAAAGGGAACACAACCATGTTTAACTCTTAATAACCATTTACGTACAAAAGAAAAATCGTCTTGGGATGATGATTTGACTGACCACTTTTGGTATAACCCAAAGTTTAATGTCAACCATTATACGCAAAAGCAAAATGTCTGACTGTGACAAGTGTTTGAATTCTCCTTATCTGTAGGAATTAAAGTAAATCGGAAACGACAAGCAGAAAATAGTGATTGAGAGATTATGGTCCTTTAAACAAGATACTATCCTACTAGAAAAGCAGAATCAGACGTTAAAAGGACTAATTTCGTCAACATAATGCCGAAATAGAAGTATTAGGTCCTGACAAAAGTGCCCAAAGTAGGTAGTCATTATACATTGAGGTGGCTTAGCAGTGAAAGCGTTCAACTTTCAGCCAATAAGTTACAGGTTCGAAACTCGCTCAATCCACTTCAGTTTGGGCAACCAAGTAGCATCATCAGCCCTCACACTTAGTGAGACTCATACCCAGTTAAGCTACTTTTTATTCAAGTGGATTCTGTGAAACTATTCAGTTACTTGATGAGTACAGACGGTGAATGAGTAATTCTTATGTAATTGAGTGAACCACTTTGTGCTCCAAATCTGGGACTGGTGAGCAACGAGGCAAGAGCATATGGTCGGGCTGTTCGAGAACAAATGTTTTAGACGTTGGAATATAAGTGTTCGGTTAATACTAACTAGACAACTTTCCTTCATAGCTGAAAAAGTGGATTTAATAACTAACGAGTGGTTACCTATATTAAAAGACATGCAAATTTCTAAGCAAGATGCAAAATCTAACCCACAGAACCCAAAAACATAATTTTACCTCCATCTAAATGAAATAAACAAATATACTTCATACTTGGTTCTTGGTATTAAAGTGTTGTATATATTTAATGCAGAAATATGGAAATTTACAAATGAAAAACTGTAGAATATCACGAGTTAAAAATATAAAAATTATGCTAGTAAATCTAAATATTTTGTACAAAATTGTGATGTTAATGGTGAAATGTTTTATCGTACACCAAAGAAAATGAATCTCCCTGTCTTTGAAACCCTGGATGTTTTGATATCAAATTACTCAACTGGGGTAACTTGATTACTTCATTTCCATTTATGTACACTACGCGCAAACTAGGGCAATAAACTAAGTCTTCAATAGATTCGAAAGTACACAGTCGATTGCGTTGGACAGAAAGGTTGGTCAGAGACGGAAGACGGGAAATCCCACAAAGAGTTGTTAACTGGTTATCATCTAAATTCAGTTCCAAAACGGAGATTAAATAAGAGAAAGTATCCGGGATTCGTACGATTGAGTTATTAGAAAAATCGATTTTGGTCATCAACGCATACCAATCAAGATTACGAAAACAACTCATATCCAGATTATGTAACACCACTTCCCTGGACTGGTCTTCATATGCATGAGCCAGAACATCTAGGGCTGCATACAAAGATCGCAAGTGCTCATAATAAAAAGAACGCTGAGGATCAACTGACACTAACACGTTTAACGCTTCTTTCACCTCTTCATGAAAATTATGCGGTCGAATAAAGCGAAGAAGGCTGACAAGCGTCAACAAAGCCCATTTGTTTTTCGGTTCAAATGACAGCAGGTCACGAACAATATTCAGTTCCCCAACCAAATCTTTTGGATCATGTGAGGGCAAAATCATAGGATTTAACAATCTTAGAGGGTCTAGAGTGACGCGTGTCAGTGATTCATTTTGATGAGAATCCATACAACACTGAAGGGACAAGTAGTTTGCAGAATCTTCAGGCATATTAACACAGATTTCCTGGTTTCCATCGCCATTAGCTTTTCTAATCCAGACTTGGGCTACAACATTCCAAGGTTGACACTGATATAGATGCCTATCATTATCAGGAGCGTAACGGGATACTAAATCTTGGTTAAGCGGCAACCACCAAACAGCTGATAACTGCTCATCTAGGACAGAGTTCCATCCCCCAAGAAGCTCAGGTGTTAAAGTTATAGAATTAGAAATTGTACCGTCACATGGAAACACTTTTATGGAAACATGCAAATCTTTTAAAGTTTGCATCAATTTCACAGAGCTGAAAACAAGAACAAATCTTCCCAGCTTCCGTGAAATATACAGTTCCCTTAAATAAACCTTTCTTTCTCCGCGACCCAATAACCACCAATAATAGAACCAAGGACTCTGATCAGCGGGATCTGTGAATATTGCATTGTGAACAAGATCCAGTTCGCCATTTGGTAATGAAAAATCAAACCGAGATTGGCTTTGTTTTTTATTCAACTGAGTCTGAGGATTAAGACTTTCGGACGATACAGAAGCGTTAGACGCAGAAGCTAAAAGTTCACCACGATAGTGCCAAGCTGAATAATTGCTCATATTTTTTTCTATGGCAGAGTCTGTAAACTCCAGCTCTAACTCCGTTGAAATACTACCCTTGGAAACGACAAAGCGGCGGTAATCCCAACAGTGGAAATTTCTTTCATCCTGCGTTAGGGCTTGGTTACAAAGCTTCAATTCAGATTCCCAATTCGGAGAAGTGTGATTATTCATAACCCAAGATCGGTGATACCAAACAGTATAAGATTTCGGCGAGCTATATAAACAGCGAGTTGTAAGGTTCAATTCAGATTCAAATAACTTTGAAACCTTTTCTTGATCCTCAGAAAAATTCCGAATGAGATGCATTATTATTTCGCGTCTATAATTCCACAGGGTTGCTGTGTCTGGAGATGTTTCAATAAGGGAACCAATTTCTTCCAAATGCACTTCATTGAAGTCATTCTTTTCACGACACAACCACAGCTTCTCACATTCTTCTGAGAATTCTCTACTTATTTGATCCTTTTTTAGCTTTTTAGCTCGTTCTTGTTCAGCTGTCTGTATAATTTTAACTCTCCCATGCATATTGTATTAAATTTATTTAGATTAAATAATCGATTGGCGAGTGATGGTGGCTACTCTCGTGAGTTACAAGTCTGTAAGAAAAAAAACACAAGAAAACTACTATGAGCCTAAACCCGGAAAACGCATCAATATGCATATTCAAATTTGCATGGTGTCCAGTAAATCGTAACAGGCATTGCTGAGCTACTCTGATGTAAAGACTGCCTACAGTGGTACCAAACGTTAAAAGTATGCGCTGTGCTCATGATACAAAAGTGATGCACAAACTACCAAGTGGACGAGAACGTTCAGTTTACTACGGTTAACCACTTATCTGATAATAGAGTTTGAATGAACACACCTTACTACATATGGGGAATGATGCATGTGGAACTGATCGATGTATGTTGATGGATGTCACGAAATTCTGACAAGTGAACGAAAAAGTAAGATTTAATGACAATTAATGCTTGCTTAATTTTCATGACAACTGTAAACATTCGGTTGTCCACAAGAGACAGTATTTTTTCGCATAAAAGTCGAGAGTTTAAAAAAAATTTCGTATCCAGTAATCAGAATGATATAAGTTAGATACATAATAGTGAACACTCACCCAAGGTCAGACGCACTGTTGAAGAAACTTTGAAGGCACGCGCAATCCTCTCAGAAAGTCACAAGCAGTTACAGATGTTTAAACAAACACATAGAACTTTACTTTTAGAAAGAGCGACCTAAAAGTTGCTGTTCTGTACGTGGTTGTGGTGTACTATTGGTAACTAAATGAAAACAGGACTTCCGCTTCAATTTTTTGAAGTGCATAAATTAACAAACTATTCGTTAACATAGGAGGTATGATAAAAAATATGAAGAACTGGACCAGTTCTAATGGTTAGAATTCCACTGCTGATTCTAAATTCTTTGAATAAGTCGGACAACGGAACTGTAGCTTACGTAGAAGTGTAGTCAAACTATTCACATGCTTAACGGCCCTTCATATCTAGTAACAGTGTATCACCGATGCCTCCAGGCAGGAACCTATGTATATTAACGGTAAAAAAAAGTGAACAGAATGAAAGTTGGTAAATGGCAATGAGATACTGTTGTTGGTTCTTAAAAATATATGCTTCAATCTATCCGTAACGCAAGGTCGTTTACCAAAAGACAGGAAGAACGCCATAGTAAGTCCTGTCTTCAAAACAGGTACGAAACATAAACTTGAGAATTACCAACCCGTTAGCCTAACTAGTGTGGTTGTTAAAATCTTAGAAAAGATTATTCGGAAGGAGCTGTTTAAGTACCTCAGTGAAAGCCGGATCCTTTCGGAGAAGCAGCACGGTTTCAGAATGGGTTATTCCTGTCTCACTAACTTATTAGTCGCTCACGATAGCTGGAACGTCTTAAGGACCAAAAGTTACATGTAGACGTAGCCAACATTGATTTCAGCAAAGCTTTCGACAACGTTCCGCACAACCGGCTGTTATATAAGCTATGAAATGTCGGAATCGGAGGCAATCTATTGATGTGAAAAAAAGACTTACTAGTTGGGCGCCAACAAAGAGTACGGGTGAACTGAAAGTTATCTAGCTGGCAAACTGTGCTTAGTGGAGTGACCCAGGGTACAGCTTTGGGGCCAGTGCTCTTGTATGTAAATGACCTTCCTCGTCTCCTATCATTATCAGTCTTGCTATTTGCTGACGATGTCAAAATATGGAGAACGACACGATGTAAGAGTAATAGCTCAAAACTCTAAAATGACCTGAAAAAATTATCTGAATGGTCGCAAACCTGGCAGTTGCCGACAAATGCTTCCAAGTGTGTTGTAATCCATATAGGTCATCAAGGCACAGATACATACACGATAAATAACACTGAGCTACCTGTCGTCCAGACACACAATGACTTAGGAGTTATAGTTAGCCAAGACTTAAAGCCTAATGCACACTGCCGTACAATAGCCGCCAAAGGTTTTAGAACCTTATGGTCAATACGTAGGGCTTTTACTTATGTCAGCGCTAAAACGTTTTTGATTTTGCAAACAGTGTTCGTACTTCCTAAACGTGAGTACTGCATACAAGAGGCTAGCCCATGTTTACAAAAAAACAGTGAGGTTCTGGAAAACGTTCGGAGAACAGCAACTCAGCTGATTCCTGGAATAACAAAGCTTCGTATGATTGTTGACTGCCCAAACTAAACCTATTCCCGCTGTCATATCGTAGAACTAGAGGCGACTTGATTACAGTTTTCAAATTGCTTAGTGATAAATTTGTACCTGATATGCCCTTATTTTTCTTGTCTTCCAAAACAGGACACTCCAAAAAAGTTCACAAGCCCAGAACAAATTACTTGTCAGCTGACTATTCACTTTCCCATCGAATCATCAACGAGTGGAATTCACTACCTCAGCACGTGGTTGAGGCTCCATCCGTCGAGTATTTCAAAAGAAAGGTGGATCAACTGAGAGACCACTATTGCCAGGACTAACACAGACCATCAAGCCTCCTGTCATTTCCAAACTGAAACTGAAACCTTTTGCAAATATTAAACGACTGGGTAAAACTAGAAAGACTGGATTAAAAACGGCATTATTTACGACAAGTAAGGCACAGTTAATATCTGTTAGCTGCTATCCCATCTACGTATTGAATTAGATACCATTAAAGAAATTAAACCATTTGTTTCATGATTGGTTTTTGTTCTTCAGATTTGCATTGATAAGGCTAGGACTCTATCCACACGCTTTGTGTTTTGCAATTTATGGCTTCTGTCAACTAATCGAAAGGCTTTGCAGCGCTAAATAAATCCCTAAAATAAATGGCTCTGTAAGTTTTCGACATTGGATACTGACCACATGTTTTAGTGGACTCATCTAGCTGAAGGCGCTCGGTCAGGCATCCGCACCAGATCACGTGTGGTAACGCTGTGCTCAACATCTATCGCAATCGCTAGCCAGATTAGATCAGAGAATTCCGATATATTGGTAATCGCCATATACACTTTTCCGATCTCCTCGACTCTGTCTTTTGATTTCTCTCGGTGAATACAAATTATATTAGAAGATGTTGCTGGTAAAAGCGTTGTCAAACACTGAATACCTGAGTCATTTTCATTGGTGAGACCGACGTGATCTGGTACACCTAATTGCAACTGTGATGTCTGTTCCTTTTTGGGATTTTTATATATTATTGCCTTATTTTTTTAATTTTTATACATTGTGATATTTTTCCCCTTGTCTCAGGATATATATATATTTCCCTCGTATTCTAGTACTTAATATTCCCCTATGTCTGACCAGACTCCTAAGTTATTTAAGATTAAAACCATGTCCCCACCCTCGTTTCAACTGATGCCCTTCTGGCCAGACAATATCGAAGCCTGGTTCTGCTACGCAGAAGCCGACTTCCACGAGCACGGCGTGAACGACACACATGCACAATTCCTCGCAGTAGTCAAGGCACTACCGCGGGAATTCAACAGGTACGTAACACCGAGTATGTTTACTAGTGATGTTTCTGAACCTTACGAAACCTTAAAACGTTTGATTCTTAAACGAAGAGATCTAACCGATCGACAAAGGTTAGATCAACTCTTTAATAACATAGACCTGCAACACGGTTCTGCGACGGACATGTTGCAAGGGATGAGAGAGGTGATAGGCCCAAGAACTTTCGACGAATGTCTATTCAAACACCTTTTCTTGTCTAAACTTCCCCAACAGGTGCAAGCGTTTCTGGTCTCGTTTCAGAACAACGCCTTAGACGAACTGGCTGCATCTACCGATCGTATCTTATAAATCACGAAATCTTCTACGACAGAGGTTTTTTCAGTCAAAGAAAAGCCTCACACGACTCATAATGACATAACCGAGTTATGTCATACACTTACGCGTTATCTTAATCTTCGTAACGACCGTAATCGCGCGCACACTCCACGTAGAAGCATTTCACGTAATTGATCTGTCTCTAGACCACGATATATGTATTTATGAATGAGCGACAATGCCAAGATGTTTTGGATGTGTTTCTCTCCCTCTAAATGCAAACTGTTGCTTCAGGACTGGCCTGCGTCAATACTTGAACTACAGATAGGGGGGAGAAGTAGTCGAGCGCGTCGACAACTTCACTCATCTTGAGAGTGTGATCAGTCCTAATAGGTTTGTGTTTGACGAAATCTCTACACAGATTCAAGAGCTCGTTTGACCTTTGCCAACTTACTTTGTTACTGACAGGATGTTCGGAATAGACATATGAGATAACATAGTTAGGGTAATACGTATAACAATTTGTTGCTAAATTCGAAGAATTACAGTATTTGTCAGAAGTAGACTTCATTAGACGTTTAGAAAACTACCTTTTTGATTCTTGATTGAGATCATGAATCGATTGATGTTAGACCATCATTGAAAACCTGGAAGCACTAGACGGCCGTTTTTTCTTTCTGTAAGACTCCTCAACAGTGTGATCCATGATCCCCCGTGGGAAGAGGAACAATTGGCGATTCAAATTTATTTCACACTATTAATAACATTATTCCCCCTTTCAACACTCTTCTTTATTATTAATGCACTTTTATTAATGTGTGTTGATGATTATTGCACGGTGATTGTAATTCCTGACCCCCTCTCTGAAGTAGTATGAAGTGGTTTTATTGAAGTTTTTTTGATGAAAAAAATTCCGTCAGAGAGACGGATAACACCGACTGGTGCTGGTATCATAACCAGTATGGAAAGTCTTCCAGAAATTGCAGGAAACCCTGCAATTTTCCCAACACGAAACCGACTGACTCGAAAAACAACTCGGGAAACTTCCAAGCCGGCACGCGTTAACGGCAACCGTAGCCGGCGAACATAGCCGTCTGTAATACGTCACAGATGTGACAACGAGAGCTCGCTACCTCGTCGACACTGGCGCAGAAGTTAGCGTTCTCCCAGCAGATCCTAACGACCGACTTCACGAATTGACCCTTAACTTACAGGCGGCAAACGGAAAACCTATCGCTACGTATGGCAAAAGGTACGTTTACCT